GGTAATCCTCGATTTGGTAAAGTACTTACCTACATTACTCTTATTTTTTATTCTGAATGCTCTTATTGTAGTTGACTATGTTGTTAATTAGATTAATGTTGTCGAACAAAACATATGAAAACGAAGTCAACACAAACGTAGCGCAACTAAACGTAGGCAACTTCTTAACGTCAACATAACTCAACAACTTGACAGCTCAACAAAGATCACCCAGCATTCAACATCCAATACGAAACCATTGTGTGAGATATTCGGTCTCGAACAATCGTCTAAAGGTCAAAACAATTACTCGTAGTCAGTAAATTGTCGCGTTCATTATATGCGTGCTGGGTCGATCGGAAGTTCGGCTGCCTGCGGCAAGGCTCTTCGCTACACTTGTATACACATTGTTGTTGTCAAAATTTTATTGTCGTACATAAAGGTTCATAATGGAGTGGATGTTTGTTTTAATGATTAGAAAAAATAATAATCAAATCAATAACAAATTCATGGCATAACAAATTATGGTGTTTTTCATTGTTTGCGCTTAATGTGCTGCAATTGCACTTAATTAGCATGTCAACCAGTTATCAAGTTCTTTTCGCATATTAAAATACTCTCTGCCAAGTTTATTTGAATGTATATACTTTCTGTCAAGTGGTGGGGGGCTATGGATAGTATTGACCATAAAGATGTGCTCTGAGTTTCATTGTATATGGTATAAAGTCAACCGAAAATTCGAAAATATTTTGGGGCTAGGGGAACTATTGAACGATTTTACCTGTTTTGGACACAAGAGCACAATATTACCGAGAAAAGATTCTGTCTGAATTCGCATAATATATCACATGTTTTCGCTAAAAAGTCAGAAATAAACACTTTGGTCCACATACTATTAGGTATCTGTGGCTTGAACAGTTAGAGTCCGATATAAAATGTTTTTAATAATATAAGAATGTCAGGAAAGTCTTATGCACTAAATTGGGTTGAGTAATTCTTCAGATATAGGTGTTCGGTTGCACGCTTCGACTTCCACTTTGTCTGAGTAGGTACCGGAATGATTGTCCTCAGCAAGTTTGGTACATATACACCAATGGGTGGTTTTTTGAGATATGCGAATTCCACGCCCAATTTTTCTGAAATTCCGTGTACTAAATTAAAGTTTTAACGGAATTTTGTGGGGATGACAAAGATCCGATTCAGCCGATCCGTAATACGAACTTTATCTTCGTGCCAAGGAACAGTGTACAGATGAACAAAACTATTATACTCTATTGCAACATGTTGCGAGAGGATAATATTACTCCTTTACGTTGGAAATTAATTATATATTATAAATTTTGCAAATTGCTAACTGGTCTGACGGTATACAATATTTGAAAATATAAAGAATATCTCTTATGAAAAAATTTCAAGTTATTGATAAACTATGTGAAGAATTTGAGACTGAAAGTTGTTTCAAAATTTATTAAAACCACATATGTAACAATATGTAGCACATACTTGTATAACACCAAATATTTTCCCTTCGAAAAAAGTGGAAATAATTCTTCGAAATTAGCAGTGTAATATAAAAAGAGAGGAATGTTGTTTAGCGAAATAGAAAGAAAACAAAAAATTTGTATTGAGTCAAAACTCTTGATTTATTAATTACGTTAAAAGTTAGTCTGCTCCTGCAGAGTGTAAAACGGTTCAAGTCAGGCAATTTCCGCTTGGAAGAGACGATGAATAAAGAATAACCTACAAAGTTATTTCTCTTGAAACTTTTTTCTGTCCATAGGGAGAAGCACGTATGCAAGAGTATGTTAATTACCAATATGTATACATGATCGTACTTTTAGTAGGTCTTTTATATTATTACTAACTGTTCACTAAAGTTTTAGGCCAAGATGTCAATTATCTAACCGCGCATCTAGTAATCGAAAGGGTCATAATTCGCAGAGTAAGCTATACAAATTGAATAATACCACCTTCGTTGACAATTCCACCCTACTATTAGCTATACAGTGAATGATTGGTAGAGAATTATATTATAGTATACGTATACCAGTATACTTTTACTGTATGTGCTTAAAAACAAAACAAAAAAATTATATGTAATATATTATCTATAAAATTTTTACGCAAGAATTCGCCAACACTCGCCCAAGCAATTTGTTGCAACCCATCAAAAGCGTACTCTCAAATTCGGCATGAAAAATATATACTAAAGCGCAATGATTTATGATTAGTTTAGGTGGCTCAACAAAGCAATTGTGTTTAAGATTTTTATATTGCACACACAATTTTGTGGTTTGTAGGTCTAAAAGTTATTAAAAGACTCTTAAGTGAATATAAATTCGCGTTTGTTTGTAAGTGTGTACACCGTAAATTCATTTTACAGGGGAGTAAAATTACGAAACCGTAATGTTACATAGGCTAGTATTAGAGGGCTTGCAGAGCAATTGCTTTGGCAAACTTAGTTTCAATTCAGTTTTCTTGCTGGCTCAGTAACAGCATGATAATCATAATTACACAAAAACAGAAATATGTTCAACGGTGTCTGAAGGAGCACACAAGAGCTGACAGCAAGTGTTTCCAATTCACTAAGAAAATTTTCAGCAGAAAATTACCACCACAAATACAAACTACACTATCGTACATACATTTCAAAATACAATGTAAGAGCGAAGGTAACAATGGCAACTAACGCAAGTGCCAGTGTGGCAATTCATAAGGAAATTCAAAAATGCGGAAACTTTTCGGCTATCAAATTGAACCAATGCCTGTGTTGCAGACACGGCTAACTGGGTTGCGGCAGCTTTGATGCCACAATTATATTTGTCAGGATGTTTATTGCGCCATTGCGATTGTTTTCGCTATTGTTTCGGATACCACTTTTTTAGCGATTTCTTTTTTGGCAAATTGTAAAATTTCCTTTCTTTTTCATTGGTTGTCGTATATGGATACAGTATAACTAAAATTGCAATTTTGTTAACAATTAATTTAATATTTAATCGTTCTTCCTGCTGCGGAAATACTACTGAGAAACCTCATTTTGAATTCGCTTGAATCCCAACCAATTGAATGTAATTTTTTATGCCATTAAGTTGCTTGCATTGATTTAAAAAACATATTGTTGTTAAAATTTTTATATAACAAAGGTACCAATGAGGCCGAACTTCAAGTGTTACACAAGGATTGGTTTGAGATGAAGGTAGAGGATGGCACTGATCAGACTGGGAGTCCTACTTATCGAAACTAGACCCTGATATACTAAACAGAACAATCCATATAACACTAACCACCTCCTTGCATGCCCTGCGAAAATCACTCTCGGAACACCCCTTTCCTTTGTTCCAACCCAGTCGAAACAGTCCGTTTCCTAGATCTAACGCTAAAGTGATTGGTTTTGTAATTTCCCTAAACAGGCTTAGGTACTCGCTACAATAACAACAACTACTACTGTGTGCCATATATTAAGTTTGGCACGAAGTTTGCCAGGAGGAAACGTCGGAGACCCTATATGGTATATATAATATGTACCTATCCATGTATACGCAAACCGGTCCCTAAGCTCTTGACATATCGAGCTGAAATTTCACACACGTCTTTTCTTTCTAAGAAGATGTAATCGATCAAAATCACATATTTGTACAAGAAAATGTTTTATTTGACCAGATAACTTCTCAAAGTCAAACGAATCATTATCCAAAGCGGTGCTGTAATCTTCAAATATATTATTCGAGCCCCTATAGCATATAGCTGCCAAAAAAACTGAATAATAAAAATCAAGATAAAGATCTGTTTATATCATTTTATGCTACAAGAAATGCACCTGCGAAGGATATTATTATTTTTTTAAGTAAAAAAATTTAAGAAAAGTAAATTAACCTACAGGAATGTAATGTGAACTCATTATCCACCAAGGCAATTAGTCAACAAATACGAATCTGATCATAGGTAAACATATATGGTATATGACTGCATATGCATTCTATGCCCTTGCACATGATACTATTTTGTTATTTTTTATTTTTGATCATTGTCTATCAGCTTCTATGCATTCAGCTTATTATTTCTATTTGTTTATCAGCTTCCTTTGAGCTAAACCATGTCAGCATTGTCGACAAGTACTAATAAAAATCAGCAACATAAGTAAGTAGTCATAAAAAAAGGTATAGTCAAAGAAAAAATGATAAAAACAATATTAATAAAACTAAATACGAGGCGAATGGTAAAACCTCCAAAAATACAAAAGATAAAACGAAAACTGTGCAAACCTTTTACTTTGCGCCACTTTATTTTGTGCGTACGAACGCGTATGTGTGTATGCATTTTTCTGGTAACGAATGCTACAAAGGGCAGCAACAAACATAGCAATATTAAATATAGCCTAAAATAGTAAAAAAAAAATCATCTAACCCAAAGCAGCAGCTGATAAAACTGGATTTGAGTATAGTTCACTTTCGCTTTCGATACGAGTGACTTGTGTGAAGGTTGCGAGTGTATGTGGGCAAAAAAAAACATAATAATTAATACAATTACACCAACGGTGTGGATTTACTGCGTTAACACACACTTGTGCAATGTGTATAAAAATATTTTTGACGCGCTTTTATTTTTTACCGAGATCTCTTAGTTTATTAGCGTTTTCAATAAAGTACTCTTTGCAATGCTCTTCCACTATTTTTGGCAGCCGCGCTGGCGCTGAAGCTTTGAGAAACAAGCAGCTAAGATAATACTTATCGTTACTATCAGACTTCAAACAGTTTAGGCATTTTGGAACACCAGTAATTATCACTCTCAATTGCTCAGTCACTCAAACATTAAGCAAAATTGTGCCAGCACCAGTGACAGCGGAAATCTCAAACCCCTCATTATCACCTGCACAACATCGCACATGACAACCCCTCACACTTGAACTAGTACTCCGTTTTTGCTCATATACTTGTACAACACTTTAGGAGCGAATTTTTAAGCCATGAGCGTAACCAAGTACGTTTAGCCTGTCTTAGTGGCTCTCATGTTGGCTCAAAGCACTTGTCTTGATTGACGGTGGTCTCTAGCCTGCCACCTTGCAGGCGCGAGTCTCAACGCCTTTTCGTGAGCTGCCTCAACGGCAATGGCGGTGGTGGCGTCGCCACTCGTTGACTTGTTTAACTGTGTGGCGTTTTGAGCTTTATTCCGTTGGCGTGTGATAAAAATACGTTAGTAATCAATTGCAAGCCCAACTGCCAAGACACGGAATTTAGACGCGCCTTCGCCGTTGTCGTCGTGGTTTTACAATCGCTAATTTAGTCGTTTTCATAATAATTATACATAGTAAGCAGCATACAACATCAGCAGTAACTAATATTGAGCGTGTTGTTGAAAAATATTGAAAAGTGTTGCAAACTTAGAACTACGATTTAATTAAAAACTTATATTATTAACAATAAATTGCAGTAACAGCGATTCGAGCAGCACGTACACCTGCTATTGAGTGGATAATTTGCAGTTATTTTCGAATATTTGGAACCATTGACAAATTTTGCTGCAGAACGACAAACAACCAAAGCGTTTAACGCTAAAATTGTACGTGTTTGAATTTTCATATTTATTAACATTCGATTTCATGGCAAATTCATTACTTCATATGAATTAATAAATATGTGTATTTTAATTTCGTGCGTGCTAGAAACAATTCATAACTATATGCATTTTATTAATAGTGGTATGCCAGTTTTATTTTTTGTTTTCCTTCGCCTTCACTTCCTATTTCGTATTTAGAGTTATATATGTATATGCCTTGCCAGTATATAATATTGCGGGATGGATATGAGAATTGTAAAGAAAATTATCCAAATAAAAACTTATAAAATATAAGGATTATGTGCCAAAAAAATTTGAAAAAATTCTATTATAGTGCATTATATTGTGCCAACCTATTGCAAGGCTGTATATGTATATGTGGAATTTTTTAACCTTATACTTAAACATATATGCATCATCTCCATTAAACAGCAAACGTTTTCGTTCTAGGTATTTCTTATTTTTTATCCTTTATTAATTTAATCAATATTATCGTATTTATAATGGGTTTCAGTATTACTTTTCTAGCTGTTATCAATAAAAATATCATAAAAACATATACATATCTTTGCCATATATTCTTGTAGCGAAAGTATTTACACAGATATTTTAGTTTTTTTTTAAGAAACGGCTACCTACACCTAAGAGCCATATAACCCATTGATTCCACTTAAATTACTTTACTAAAAGTTATATTTTATCTCTAGTTATAACTTTCCTATTATCAGCTGATTTAGACTTAAATGCATTTGTCTTGGTTTCATAACCGCAAAGACACTCCTACCCTAAACCAATCATATTTCCACAGCAACCAGAAAGTCCTCTGTGGACCTAACAAGTATATGTATTTGTTAATTCGTGGGCTCAAAACGCGTAGAACAGATTTTTAACCCTCCTTAAGAGTTATTGGCATCACAACGAACCGGCGTTCTTAGCTGTGCAAGTGTGATCCTTCGTATTCTATTCAAAAACTAACCTAACTTTTAAAATCCGACAAAGTTAAAGATTTATGTACTCGTCAAAAAACCTGTTTTCTTTATAGAAGTAACTAATGGCAATTTATCAGACACATAACTACAATACTTTTCGAGGATGCAGTATTTTTTAGTAAGCAAGAGTTTTAGGTAACTAAAATTCTTTTATTAGTTTTTTTTTGTAATTATCATTGAGGTTTTTGTTTTGTAGTTTCATTAAAATTGCTAAAAGTGTTTGATTTTGTCACTATTAGAAGACAATCTTAAACCTCTGAATGCATTTCTGACCAGAAAAATCGTCTCGAAATTCCATCAGCTGTTGGTAACGATTTTATATACCGTAAATCCTCGTTTTCTGAGACAACTCGCGACAAAAATATCCGAACATGTTGATTTTGGAAGAAACTTTTTCGGAAAAGAAGGCTTATCATTGTCATTAGACTATCAACCACCGTTACAACATATTACTTTTGTGTTAGTCGGAACGAAGAATGAGCACTGGTCCTGAGTACGTTTGACCTTTACACGACGGCGGTCGTGTCTTAATGCGCTTAGGATTACATATTTAGCCAAAAGTTAATTACACTGAATTTTAAGATAGCAATTAAACAGAATACCTGTTATCAAGTAGAAACAGAAATGGAACGTCATGTGTTGTCTCGAAAACTTTGTATACATACCCCTAACAGGGTATATTAAGTTTGCCACGAAGTAAAACCTGGAAGGAAACTTCGGAAACCCTCTAATATATATGTCGATCTGAAATTTTGAAGCTGCTCCACCGATATCGATTCACTATACCATATAGCTACTATACAAGCTGAATGATCGGAATAAAGTATTTTTTATTTGACGATATATCTTCAAGAAATTTGGCATGAGTTAATGTCTAAGGCAAGAATGTAATCTCCGAAGAAATTGTTTAAATCGGAGCTCTATAGCATATAGCTGCCATTCTAATTAATCGATCAAAATCAAGTTCATGGATATTATAGCTCCGGCGTAACCGAAGTTAACGTTTTAACTATTTTTATTTCAATAAGTTCTCTAATTTAGGTAACCACTAAGCCTTTTAAATATGTATGTCGGTTTTAAATTATTTTCCGTTCATACAAAACTCTAGAAAAAAAGTTTTAAAATTTGATAATTTAAATTTTTAAATACAAAGCAATAAAAAATACTATAATTTAATTTTAATGATATTTTGATTGTCTTCATTTGTCAATTACACCTATAATAGAGTAAAACTTTAAATGCTTGATTGTTTAAATTAAAAAGTATTTGTAAATGCACTTACATACATGATTGCATTAACATTCACCACAAAATATCCGAATGCATCACTTGTTAGTCCATTGGATTAACATGCTAAACTAACTAATTGATTTTTCTCCACTCACCGCTCCACCACGTGGCTAATAATTTTTCATCCGGGGCAAAGTTCTAACGAACCGCTTAGCTTTAGCACTTAACTACAACCACGAAATTGTTATTTGCACCCTGCAGTGAAACTTCAAACTGGTCAGCAAAAATATAGGATTATAAGCAAAAATTTCTGACAGAATTAGTCTGAAAAATACTAGTTTATCACTAGCTATGGCGTACTGCGAAAGAGCAAGTCAGAGAAAGATTAGTTACAAAATGATTTCTTATATGTATTTGGTCTCTATGATTAAACACAATACAACAACAAGTTATAGTCAGATATATTTTAAGAAGTTTTTTTTGTGTATTTATAACCATATCGTCTTTACCTTTTATATTAAACTAATTACTTTAGTTAACAATCTAAACTCTTTGTTGTGCATACTGTGAAGCTGATATACGTATATTTTAAATCTGACAGTTGACACATCAAAAAAGATCGCTTTGTAACTAATGAATAGTATGAAAAAAAGATAGTTGTCTTACTAGATTTTAGGCAGTTTACAACCAGTTAGTTTCACTGCTGGTTAATTTGCAAGCTTTATAAGTTTCTACTCAATTTCACGTCTGTAATAAATCTGTTTAAATTTCATATAAAACGTATGACAAGCAATTGAGATAATTAAATGGAGAACTTTTGCAATTTAAAATCAATTAATCATTATTCAAACTCTGAGCTTCTGTTGTGACAGTCTTGAGAATAATTACAATTCATATTTAAGAATACGAATGTGAAGCATGAGTAAAATTTTGCACTTTTCTGGACATTCGAAACCCCCTTTCAATTTCGCGAAGTCAAAAATATTAATATAATAGTAATTAATTAATCAAAAAATCAAGCACTGAATAAAATTATTTAACCTAAACTGAAATATAAAAATTGTTTCAACGAAAACTTCTCTTCATAAATAAAGCCTATCTTATCCACACCTCACAAACAAATTTGGCAAAAAAAAAACAAAAAAACGAAATGTTAATGTATTCAGCAGATTAAAAGTGTTAATTTCTATCAAGTAATAAAAATTTACAAAGTACAAAGTGCATATGCTATAGTCAAAATAAATGCCTGAAAAGAAAATATTTGAATGGGTCACGTATAAAAATATTTAGCTGGTAAAGTTTCGGACTTTTGACTGCCATAAAATTGTTCTCTTTTGTTTATAAAAGACACGCAATTTAAAATTCTCTAAGAGTTTCAATACAAATGAATTTATTTATATATCGAATTATTATGCAATAAGAGTATTGGTGATTTTGAGTTAACTGATTTTCTTTCTTTGCATATTATTCGAATTAGAATGTATATTATATCAGCGCACAATGATTATTTCTTTTAAGAAGATAAAAGTGTTACGTAATTTTGTTGTTTCATAACTCCTAATGTTTGATTATATCTCAACAGCGTGCACAATCTGATACATTAATAAAATCTTTTATTTTTAAGCAGATTCATAGAAGTAGAATATCAAATCCTATTACTTACATTAGCTAAACTTCAGCGAGTTTAGGAGAAATCGGAAATATGCAAACCTACCGATCAAATCGGAAAACTTTTTGAACTTTACAATCTTCGAATATATTGTTGCATGTGGACCACTTTAGCATATAGCTGCCATTCCAACTGACTGATCAAAATGGAGACAAAGATCTTCATAAAAGATTTTTTTCCTTATTAAGTAATCTTAATTCGTGAAGGTTGTTTATGTCAAACAACGTGGCCAGAAAGGTTATATTTGCTACAAGAAATGCAGCTGTTAGGGCTATTTTAGCATTGTTTATAACAGCCAGCGATAACGTTTGATCTTTTCATTGAAATGGAGCTGATCTCAGAAGTTCGATCAGCGTGCATTTCAGAAACAGGGAACTTGAAAAACCTCTTCACTAAGTTGATAAGATCACTATGACAGAAGAAGAAATATTAAAAATCAAGCTCTTCATTAATTTCAAGAAAAACCAAAAGGTTTATTACTATCCATATATTCCCTATTGAAAAAATTCTAAAAAAATTTTAATAACAAGTATTTACAATCATAAGTTTTAAATTTTATACAAAATAATAGATAATTCAATGACAGGAGAGTAAGTTGCGTGCCTACAAAAGCCGCAATACAAAATTATACAGTTGTATTCAGTTGCGCTCACATTGAGCATACTGACGAAGAGCTGAAAGTAAAAGTAAGACAAATGTAGATATATTTTCAGAATGTACGAAATGAAATAAATTAATCAATACTCTCTTCACTGCACACAGTTTTTACGAACAAGAGTTATATATTTATTTTGAGTCTTGCAAGAGTTGCAACGCACATTAGTTGCGCTCAACCCACATTAATGGCTCGAAATATTGGCATATTGGTGTCAGAGTAAATTTGCCAGCATCATGCAAATGAATTTCAAAAGTTGTATGGCATTCGTACCCTTCCCTGAAGAAGCAGCAAAGACAGCGGGCACTTTTTCGCAACAGTTGCCAAGTCATTTTTGCTGCTTGGAAAACACCATTCAAAATATTCGCTGTTGTTTTTGTTGTTATTGTGTCATTTACGACAGCCAAGAGTGAGCAGCAGCGTGATTGGATTGTGGTTGAAGATAAAACTGCTGTTAAAA